AAAGGACGCTTTTTAACCCACTTCCCCCAAAAATAATTAAAATTCCCCAAAAAAGTCACTATTACCTCCTCCCCGGCAAAAAAATATAAAAACCAATAAACCAGTCAAGAATGAGGCTATATAAACCCTCCTATAAAACAAATAAAACCAACAAAAAACTCAACGAGAAATGATTAAAACGCCAAAATAATTAATATGCTAATTAGGTCGCCTACTTTAACGTTCCACCGAAATTTTAAACCTGGTTTTACGGGTTTAAAATTTTTATCACCAAATATCCGCAAAATAGACGATAAACCAAGAAAACTAAACAACAGTAATTATAATCATGGAGAGCGCTAAACCCGTACGATTATACAGCGCCTTTGGGGGGGGTATGGAGGGTATCCAGACTTAATTCAGGGAACTGAATAATAACAGTAGTGTAGTAGTAGTAGTAACAGAAGTGTAGTAGTATAGTAGTAGTAGCAGTGTAGTAGTAGTAGTAACAGAAGTGTAGTAGTATAGTAGTAGTAGCAGTGTAGAAGTAGTAGTAACAGAAGTGTAGTAGTATAGTAGTAGTAGCAGTGTAGTAGTAGTAGTAGTATAGTAGTGTAGTAGTAGTAGCAGTGTAGTAGTAGTAATAGTAGTAGTAGTATTTATAGTAGTAGTAAGTGTAGTAGTAGTAAGTAGTAGAATAGTAGTATTGTAGTAGTAGTATAGTTAGTAGTAGCAGTTGTAGTAGTAGTATAGTAGTAGTCTGAGTAGTATATAGTAGTAGTGTAGTATAGAAATTGTATAGTAATAGTATAGTCAGTAGTAGTAGTATAGTATGTAGTATAGTAGTAGTATAGTAGTATAGATTGTAGTAGTAGTTAGTAGTAGATGTAGTAGTAGTATAGTAAGTAGTAGTATAGTAGTAACAAAGGTAGTAGTATAGTAGATAGTAGTATAGTATGTAGTAGTATATAGTATAGTAGTAGTAGTATGTAGTAGTAGTAGTAGTAAGTAGTAGTAGTAGTATAGTAGTATGTAGTAGTAGTATAGTAGTATAGTAGTAGTAGTAGTTAATATGTAGTATAGTAGTTAGTAAAGTATATAATAGAGTATAGTAGTAGTAGTAGTAGTAGTAGTAGTAGTATAGTAGTATGTAGTAGTAGTAAGTAAGTAGTAGTAGTAGTAAGTAGTATAGTAAGTAGTATAGAGTAGTAGTGTAAGTAGTAGTAGTAGTAGTAGTAGTGTAGTGTAGTGTAGTAGTAAGTATGTAAGTAGATAGTATAGTAGTATTGTAGTAGTAGTATAGTGTAGTAGTAGTAGTAGTAGTAGTAGTAGTAGTAGTACTAGTAGTAGTAGTAGTATAAGCAGTTAGTAGTAGTATAGTTAGTAGTATAGTACAGTAAGGTATTGTAAGTAGTGTAGTAGTAGTAGTTAGTTGTAGTAGTAGTAGCCAGTAGTAGTAGATAGTAGCAGTGTAGTAGTAATGTAGTAAGTAGTAGTAGTAGTAGTAGTAGTAGTAGTACAGTAGTAGTATAGTAGTAAGTAGTGTAGTATAGTAGTAGTAGTTAGTAGTTATAGTAGTAGTAGTGTAGTAGTAGTAGTAGTAGTAGTAGTATAGTAGTAGTAGTATAGTATAGTAGTAGTAGTAGTAGTAGTAGTAGTAGTAGTTAAGTAGTAAGTTTAGTAGTAGTAGTATATAGTTGTAGTAGTAGTATAGTAGTAGTAGTAGTTATAGAGTATGTAGTAAATGAGTAGTAGTAGTATAGTGTGAGTAGTATTAGTAGTAGTTAGTAGTAGTAAGTAAGTAGTAGTAGTATAGTAGTAGTAGTATAGTAGTATATTGTAGTAGTAGTAGTATATAGAGTATAGTAGTATAGTAGTAGTAGTTATAGAGTAGTATAGTAGTAGTAGTAAGTAGTAAGTAGTAGTAGTAGTAGTAGTAGTAGTAGTACAGTGTAGTAGTAGTAGTAGTAGAGTAGTAGTAGTATAGTAGTAGTAGTGTAGTACGTAGTAGTAGTAGTAGTAGTAGTAAGTAGTAGTATAGTAGTAAGTAGTAGTATAGTACAGTAGTAGTAAGTAGTTTTAGTAGTAGTAAGTAGTATAGTAGTAACAGTAGTAGTAATAGTATATGTAGTAGTAGTAGTAGTAGTAGTAGTTAGTAATAGTAGTATAGTAGTATAGTAGTGTAGTTAGTAGTAGTAGTGTAGTGTATAGTAGATAGTAGTAGTAGTAGTTAGTATAAAGTAGTATTAAGTATAGTATACTAGTAGTAAGTTAGTAATAGTAAAGTAAGTGTAGTAGTAGTAGTAGCAGTGTATAGTGATAGTAGTATAGTAGTAGTAATATAGTTTAGTATTGTAGTTAGTAGTTACAGTAGTAGTAGTAGTAGTAGTAGTATAAGTAGTGTAGTAGTTAGTATAACAGTAGTAGTAGTAGTAACAGTAGTGTAGTAGTTAACAGTAGTGTAGTAGTAGTAGTAGTAACGTAGTAGTGTAAGCGTAGTAGTAGTAGTAGTAGTAGTAGTAGTAGTAGTTAACAGTAGTAGTAGTAAGTAATAGTAGTAGTAGTAGTAGTAGTAACAGTAGTGTAGTAGTAGTAGTATATAGTATAGTAGTAATAGTAGTAGAGTAGTAAAGTAGTGTAGTAGTAGCAGTAGTGTTAGTATAGTAGTAAGTAGTGTAGTAGTAAAGTAGTAATAGTAGTAGTAGTAGTACAGTAGTGTAGTAGTTAGAGTGTACTAGTAAAGTGTAGTAGTAAGTAACAGTAGATAGTAGTAGTAAAGTAGTGTGAGTAGTAGTAGTATAAAGTAGTGTAGTAGTAGTAGTAACTAGTAGTAGTAAGTAAGTATTTGAGTAAACAGTAGTGTAGTAGTAGTATAAGTAGTAGTAGTAGTAACAGTAGTGTAGTAGTAGTAAGTAGTGTAGTAGTAGTAGTAACAGTAGTGTAAGTAGTAGTAGTAACAGTAGTGTAGTAGTAGTAACAGTAGTGTAGTAGTAACAGTATGTAGTAGTAGTAGTAGTTAACTAGTAGTGTAGTAGTAGTAAAGTAGTAGTAGTAGTAAAGTAGTAGTAGTAACAGTAGTGTAGTAGTAGTAGTAACAGTAGTAGTAGTAGTGTAGTAGTAAGTAGTAGTAGTAGTAGCAGTGTAACAGTAGTTAGTAAGTGTATAAAGTTAGTAGTAGTAACAGTAGTAGGTAGTAGTAGTTAGTAACAGTAGTGTATAGTAAGTAGTAGTAGTAACAGTAGTAGTAGTAGTAAGTAGTTAGTAACAGTAGGTAGTAGTAGTATAGTAACAGTAGTTAGTAGTAGTAAGTAGTAGTGTATAGTACAGTAGTAGTAGTATACAGTAGTAGTATACAGTAGTAGTAGTAGTAGTAGTAGGTAACAGTAGTGTATAGTACAGTGAAACAGTATAGAGTAGTAACAGATAGTACGTATAGTAACAGTAGTGTAGTAGTAGTGTACAGTAAAGTAGTAGTAGTAACAGTAGTGTAGTAGTAGTAGAAACAGTAGTAGTAGTAGTAAAGTAGTAGTAGTAGTAACAGTAGTAGTAGTAGTGCATTATAGTAACAGTAGTAGTAGTAGTAACAGTAGTGTAGTAGTAACAGTGTGTAGTAGTATGTAACAGTAGTGTAGTATACAGTAGTAGTAACAGTGTAGTAAGTTAGTAGTAGACAGTAGTGTAGTAGTAATGTACAGTAAAAGTGTAGTAGTAGTAACAGTAGGTAGTAGTAGTAACAGTGTAGTAGTAGTAACAGTAGGTATAGTAGTAAGTAGTAACAGTAGTGTAGTAGTAGTAACAGTAGTGTAGTAGTAGTAACAGTAGTAGTAGTAGTAACAGTAGGTAGTAGTAGTAACAGTAGTAGTAGTAGTAACAGTAGCGTGTAGTAGTAGTAACAGTAGGTAGTAGTAGTAACAGTAGTAGTAGTAAGTAGTATAGTAGTCAGTAGTAGTAGTGTAACTAGTAGTAGTAGTATACAGTAGTAGTAGTATAACAGTAGTGGTAGTAACATAGGTAGTAGGAAAGTAGTAGTAAGTAGTAGTAACAGTAGTGTAGTAGTAGTAACAGTAGTGTAGTAGTAGTAACAGTAGTGTAGTAGTAGTAACAGTAGCGTAGTAGTAGTAACAGTAGGTAGTAGTAGTAACAGTAGCGTAGTAGTAGTAACAGTAGCGTAGTAGTAGTAACAGTAAGTGTAGTAGTAACAGTAGCGTAGTAGTAACAGTAACAGTGTAGTAGTAGTAACGTAGCTAGTAGTAGTAACAGTAGTGTAGTACGTAGTAGAAGTAGTAGTGTTAACAGTAGTATAGTAGTAGTAACAGTAAGTGTAGTAGTGTAACAGTAGCGTAGTAGTAGTAACAGTAGTGTAGTAGTAACAGTAGCGTAGTAGTAGTAACAGTAGCGTAGTAGTAGTAACAGTAGTGTAGTAGTAGTAGTAGTAACAGTAGTGTAGTAGCAGTAACAGTAGCGTAGTAGTAACAGTAGTGTAGTAGTAGTAACAGTAGTGTAGTAGTAGTAGTAACAGTAGTGTAGTAGTAGTAGTAACAGTAGTGTAGTAGTAGTAGTAACAGTAGTGTAGTAGTAGTAGTAACAGTAGTGTAGTAGTAGTAGTAACAGTAGTGTAGTAGTAGTAGTAACAGTAGTGTAGTAGTAGTAGTAACAGTAGTGTAGTAGTAGTAGTAACAGTAGTAGTGTAGTAGTAGCAGTGTACTAGTATAGTAGTAGTAGTAGTAGTATAGTAATAATAATAATAACGATGATAATAACGATGATGATAATTATAACGATGAGAATAATAACGATAATAATAATAACGATGATAATAACGATGATGATAATAACGATGATAATAATAACGTTGATAATAACGATAATAATAATAATAATGATTATAACGATAATAATAATTCATTCATTAGGGATTTGCCGGCACTTCCGGCCCGGGTCTTCTCCAGATGGTGATAATAATAATAATAATAATAATAATAATAATAATAATAATAATAATAATAATAATAATAATTTACCTTACAAGTTGATGACCAGGTAATTAAGGTTGTTGGATGGTCAGGTTAATCACCGTCAAGTTAAGTTAATCCTTAACACTGGTTAACATTATCTTAAACTTGTTAATTAAAGGTTAAAAATATTAACTTATCCTTGACTTCCACCTTGAGAAATTTCAACTTTTTTGTGTGTGCTTTTGTAGCGTGATTACGTACTTTATTTACCGTTTTAAGACACTACGGACACTTTGCAACCGACACTTGCAACTTGCAAGGACACTTTGCACCCTTTGGTGGTAAGTGGTGGAATTTAAGGGGGTGTATAAAGGGGTGTGTGGGGTAGAGAGAGCGACACACCCTCACTCACTGGTGGTCAGAGTCACACTGAGGCGCTGTTGTGTACCTCTCCTGACGTCTCTCAATGCTGCCATCAGACTCCAACATTTCCGCTTCTACCTCGTTTATCACTCGTTATTTACCTTCTTTGTGCACTTGAGGGAGATGAAGGTGTTAGCTAGAATCATTTCCACCTTTCCCATCAAGCTATAAGGCTGGGAAACGTATAATATAGGAGATATAACGAGCCTTGTTGACGTTCAAATCTCTCTCCTGCCGTGTCCAACTGCTGCCAGACCTCCTCACAAGATTCCTTTTTTCTCTTCGTACCTCATTTATCACTGTTTATCAAGCAACTTTCTGTACGTAACGGACATAAACGTATTCTATATATGTATATCCATCTTCGTATCAATCTACAAGACTACAAGTCTTGAAACAGAGATGTAATATATTCTGTCGACTATGTCAGTCCCTGCTGCCACAGCTCTCACAACATTCCTTATTTATCTTCCTATGTCATTTATCATTCTTTATCAAACAACTTTCTACACTCAAGGAACACGTACGTATTATATACCCGTATTTCCACCCTCATACCCATCTATAACGCCGGAAATTCTATACTACAGGAGATATAACGTGTTATCCTGGCGTTGAAATTACTGCCTGGAGATCTCCAGTCTCCCCACCATGACTAGTACACTAGGTATGTTATATACAAAAATAATATTTCTAACCTCATTCCTAGCCCCATAGCCAGACCAACTACCATGCCTATACCATCAGCAGCTTAGAAAACTTGTGTATCATGCAATAACTTAAGCAGACTGATATTAGAGTTAAATTTAAAATTAGTTGATGAATTTACCTGTCTGTCTCCCCCTTCTACCCATTACTCCTTCCCCCTCCGTCCCTTCCTCCCTTCGTCCCTTCCCCCCTCCCTCCGTCCCTTCCCCCCTCCCTCCGTCCCTTCCTCCCTCTCTCCATCACAATCTTTGCCGCAACCTCCTCCTCCTCCTCCTCCAAACACTGCCTACATCCAATTAAATGAGATGGTAGGAGGTATAGAGGTGAAATAAGAATTAACCTCCTCACAGGAAGCAACAATTTAGAAAACAAGAAATAATCTAGTCATAAGATAAATATGATGAAGGTGGGAGAGGGAGAACAACGAGCATGCAGGGAGGGAGGTACAAGGGACGTGGGAGGGACTGTGGGAGGGAGAGGTACAAGAGAGGTGAGAGGGAGTGTGGGAGGGAGAGGTACAAGAGACGTGGGAGGGAGTGTAGGAGGGAGAGGTACAAGAGGTGGGAGAATGTGGGAGAGAGAGGTACAAGAGGTGGGAGTGCGGGAGAGAGAGGTACAAGAGAGAGGTGAGAGGGAGTGTGGGAGTGAGAAGCACAAGAGAGGTAAGAGGGAATATGGGAGGGAGAGGTACAAGGGGCTTGGGAGGGAGTGTGGGAGGGAGAGGTACAAAAGGTGGGAGAGTGTGGGAGGGAGAGGTACAAGAGAGGTGGGAGGGAGTGTGGGGAGGGAGAGGTACAAGAGAGGTGGGAGGGAGTGTGGGAGGGAGAGGTACAAGAGAGGTGGGAGAGTGTGGGAGGAGAGGTACAAGATAGGTGGAGGAGGGAGTGTGGGAGGGAGAGTACAAGATAGGTGGGAGGGATAGGTACGAGAGGGGGAGGGAGTGTGGGAGAGGTACAAGAGAGGTGGGAGGGAGAGGTACAAGAGAGGTGGGAGAGAGTGTGGGAGTGAGAGGTACAAGAGAGGTGGAGAGTGTGGGAGTGAGAGGTACAAGAGAGGTGGGAGAGAGTGTGGGAGGGAGAGGTACAAGATAGGTGGGAGGGAGTGTGGGAGGGGGAGGTACAAGATAGGTGGGAGGGAGAGGTACAAGAGAGGTGGGAGGGAGTGTGGGAGAGGTACAAGAGAGGTGGGAGGGAGTGTGGGAGAGGTACAAGAGAGGTGGGAGGGAGAGGTACAAGATAGGTGGTAGGGAGTGGGGGAGGGAGAGGTACAAGATAGGTGGGAGGGAGAGGTACAAGAGAGGTGGGAGGGAGAGGTACAAGAGAGGTGGGAGGGAGAGGTACAAGAGAGGTGGGAGAGAGTGTGGGAGTGAGAGGTACAAGAGAGGTGGGAAGAGTGTGGGAGGGAGAGGTACAAGATAGGTGGGAGGAGAGGTACAAGATAGGTGGGAGGGAGAGGTACAAGAAAGGTGGGAGGGAGTGTGGGGAGAGGTAACAAGAGAGGTGGGAGGGAGTGTGGGAGAGGTACAAGAGAGGTGGGAGTGTGGGAGGGAGAGGTACAAGAGAGGTGGGAGGGAGTGTGGGAGGGAGAGGTACAAGAGAGGTGGGAGGAGAGGTACAAGAGAGGTGGGAGGGAGAGGTACAAGAGAGGTGGGAGAGAGTGTGGGAGTGAGAGGTACAAGAGAGGTGGGAGAGAGTGTGGGAGTGAGAGGTACAAGAGAGGTGGGAGTGTGGGAGGGAGAGGTACAAGAGAGGTGGGAGGGAGTGTGGGAGGGAGAGGTACAAGATAGGTGGGAGGGAGAGGTACAAGAGAGGTGGGAGGGAGTGTGGGAGAGGTACAAGAGAGGTGGGAGGGAGTGTGGGAGGAGAGGTACAAGAGAGGTGGGAGGAGAGGTACAAGAGAGGTGGGAGAGAGTGTGGGAGTGAGAGGTACAAGAGAGGTGGGAGGGAGTGTGGGAGGGAGAGGTACAAGAGAGGTGGGAGGGAGTGTGGGAGGGAGAGGTACAAGAGAGGTGGGAGGGAGTGTGGGAGGGAGAGCTACAAGAGAGGTGGGAGGGAGTTGTGGGAGGGAGAGGTACAAGAGAGGTGGGAGGGAGTGTGGGAGGGAGAGCTACAATAAAGGAGTCAATCCATTATTTTCATCTCTGAACCCAAGTCAACCTTTGTATCGATTCCAATACTCTTCTATTTTGACTAACAAACCGAACCATCCTATACTAAAGCCTTATATATATATATATATATATATATATATATATATATATATATATATATATATATATATATATATATATACATATATAATATATATATATATATATATATATATATATATATAATATATATATATATATATATATATATCAGTGCGCCACGCAGAAACAAAGAAATATATACAGAGAAAGATGGCTGTCAGCACAACTGGAAACCACGACGGGTAAGACTGGCAAGGTCCCCCAAGTGGCGCTGTAGACCACTCGGCCACACACCACCTCAGAAGCTGGGCAGCCTTGTTTACAAGTCAGAACACACAGGAGGAGTATGAAACAGCTTGAAGCTATGCTTCAGGCCCACTGGTGTGCCCAAACTAGAAAGAAACAAGACTTGTAAACACGGCTACCTAGTTTTGGAAGCATTTGTGGCCGAGTGGTCTACAACGTCACTTGGGGGACCTTACCAGCCTCACCTAGATGTTGTTTCGTGTGTGTGTGTGATATATATATTAATATATACAATATATAATATATTATATATAATATATATATATATATATATATATATATATATATATATATCATAGAAACATTTCTGAAAATTAGAGATAATAACCCAGCGGGAGAACTGCTCTATTTGAACAATGTCATCAAATTCAAAGTCTATCCAGGATAATAATATAAATTTAACGACTCTACAATCTCTAAAGTAACATTAATACTGATATAAACTTTTATACTTGCATATCACAATTATTGAATACTTGATACACCTCTCAGTGTATATATACTGAGAGGTGTATATGTCAGTGTATATATACTGAGAGGTGTATATGTCAGTGTATATATACAGAGAGGTGTATATGTCAGTGTATATATACTAAGAGGTGTATATGTCAGTGTATATATACTGAGAGGTGTATATGTCAGTGTATATATACTGAGAGGTGTATATGTCAATGTATATATACTGAGAGGTGTATATGTCAGTGTATATATACTAAGAGGTGTATATGTCAGTGTATATATACTGAGAGGTGTATATGTCAGTGTATATATACTGAGAGGTGTAATATGTCAGTGTATATATACTAAGAGGTGTATATGTCAGTGTATATATACTGAGAGGTGTATATGTCAGTGTATATATACTGAGAGGTGTATATCTCAGTGTATATACACTGAGAGGTGTGTATCTCAGTGTATATACACTGAGAGGTATATATCTCAGTGTATATACACTGAGAGGTGTATATCTCAGTGTATATACACTGAGAGGTGTGTATCTCAGTGTATATACACTGAGAGGTATATATCTCAGTGTATATACACTGAGAGGTATATATCTCAGTGTATATACACTGAGAGGTGTATATCTCAGTGTATATACACTGAGAGGTATATATCTCAGTGTATATACACTGAGAGGTATATATCTCAATGTATATACACTGAGAGGTGTATATCTCAGTGTATATACACTGAGAGGTATATATCTCAGTGTATATACACTGAGAGGTATATATCTCAGTGTATATACACTGAGAGGTGTATATCTCAGTGTATATACACTGAGAGGTATATATCTCAGTGTATATACACTGAGAGGTATATATCTCAGTGTATATACACTGAGAGGTATATATCTCAGTGTATATACACTGAGAGGTGTATATCTCGGTGTATATACACTGAGAGGTATATATCTCGGTGTATATACACTGAGAGGTATATATCTCAGTGTATATACACTGGTAGTTTACATTAATCAGTATTTTAGGTATTAAAGTATTCTTGACTGGTGGTGAACAGGTGACATACAACCTTAATGACCCTCGTGTAGTAGATAGACTTTAAACCCCATTAACCCACCATGCAGCCTTAATGACCCTCGTGTAGTAGATAGACTTTAAACCCCATTAACCAACCATGCAGCCTTAATGACCCTTGTGTAGTAGATAGACTTTAAACCCCATTAACCAACCATGCAGCCTTAATGACCCTCGTGTAGTAGATAGACTTTAAACCCCATTAACCAACCATGCAGCCTTAATGACCCTTGTGTAGTAGATAGACTTTAAACCCCATTAACCAACCATGCAGCCTTAA